GGCGCGCGCGAGCGGGGGAGCCCCTGGCCGGCCGTCCCGCAGCGCACATGGCCCCCGCCCGCCCCACGCGCCCCGAGCCCAAGCACCCAGCCCCGCAGCGCCGACGAGGTAGCTTCTGCTCCGCACGCCTCCCCCGAGGAAACGTCCGAACGCGGCGATTTACTGACGTGGCCCTGACGGTGTGCCGCCGCCGCCGGCCGACTGAGACCGCACGGCGCGCCATCGCTAGGCTGGCCGACGTGCATGCCGTGCTGCAGAAAGCAGGCTGCCGCACCCCACCCGCCGCGCTCACAAGGGAGGTACGCGAACGCCATTTCCTTTTCATCTTTATCCTCGTTTCTTCTCTGCCTCCTCCTCCTTTTCGTTTTTCTCTTCTTTTTTCGTCTTCTCCTTGGCTCCTCCCTCTTCATCTCCTCCTTTTCTTCCTCCTGCTACTTGTACTTCTTCCTTCTTATTTCCTCCGTGTTTTTTTCTTATTTTTTTGTCTTGTTGTTCGCTTCTTCCTTCTCTTGCTTCCTTTCATTTTCTCTTATTATTTTTCAGTTTGCTTACAATTTTTTTTCGTATCTACTTATTTGCTGTAAATGTATCACTCGAATATATTCTGGTTGGCAGGAAATTCAATACTGATTTTGGTAAGCAGAGACATTGAAGCAAAGTGGAGATAATGCGACTATACGATAACGCCATAAATGTAACATTTTCCACATAATTTGGAAAGGAAATTTCCAACTCGTTAGGTGCCGAATTTAACTCGTAATGCAAATATCGGGCTACAAACAAATATTTCAGATGAATTGTACAATTTTTAAGCATTTGAGGTGTCGTTCGCACTTGAAAATTCGTGAAATATAACAGTATTCATACATTCATACATACAGGACATAATTCATTCGAAACTTCAAGAACATATTTTCTATCTTGGTCATTGACCTTACCAACTGTTTTCTGAAATAAATTAAAGCACCTAATCCAAAGATTCTGTATTCAGTTTATCTGCACAAAATTCTTTATACTTGACTTCCTTTACCAATAACATTCGAAGTAGTAAATGCCAGCCATAGACGCGCAGTCTTACCCTTCACATCAATTTGAAGTTGCAGAATAAAATTCGGTATTATTAGAGCATTGTTTCCAGAAAACAAGACCGAAAATACCAGTATCTTCCCGATAGCTTCTTGCCAGTATTATGTCGGTGAATTAATAAATTGGGAAACATTTTGACGTTTCCGCAATGAATTCGTGAATGATTCTATAAAAAAACGAATTGTTGAAGAGTGACAAGTAAAAAAATAAATTATAATTTGTGTAATGTTCATGTTGTGTGTGCCATTGCGAAGTGGGGCGAGTTGGGGCGAAAGGTGGCGGCAGAGACATTTTCCGCCTGTCGAGCGGAAAGGGAGCGACTGTGGTTGTCCGCAAAGCTCGATTCCCCGTTTTCCAATCACATCGCCGGAAGTCTTCCATGCACAATCGACACAACTCAATTACTTCCCTAAGGAAATGAGAATGTATTTTTAACGCTGACAAGTTTTTCAATGAAAGTTTTGTTTTGTAAACCAACTGTTTTCGAAATCAAAATAATTCAGGAACCAATTAAGACTGAGAACGTCCGACATGTGAAGCATTTTTGTTCAGTAAAATGTGTGTGTAAAGGTGAATGAGATACAAATGCAGCAAAAAACCAATCAACAAACCAATTAATCGAAAATCCCCTAAGTCATTTAATTTCTCAAAAATATTTCGATTGCCATGAACAATGACAATAAAATATCAATTTAAAAAATATTGTTTCATATATTTTATAATCCAAAAGTGATGATATAATAAGTGAGAACAATGCATTGTTTGTAGTGCACTCGCGATTTCATATTGGGAAAAACTGTACACATTTTTTTCATATTTCAGATATACGTAGATACAGTACTTCGGCTATCTAGTCGTATCTGAAACTCGATAATTTCGCTGCGATAAGAGATTATAACTTCTATTACTCTTTCTCTCTTCCAATATCTTTCTAAGAGCTTTGCTTAATAGCATTTTAAGCCGCGGTTCGTAAATGTGACTTAGAACATATTTTTGGGTTAAAGTATCAAATTCACCTTTTGATAGAGCCCTGCTGGTTGTTTCGCGATAAAATAAATATTGAAAATATTGTAACATTTACATTAATTGAAAGATATCTTTAATGGATCGGCTAATTCTACGTAATTACTTGCAATGAAATTATATTTTAAGTTTCGAGTTTCATTACGTTATTTTTTATGTAAGAAAAGGTCAGAACACTGCTTACATTTTATTTTGCATCAATATTTTTTGAATATGCCTTGAAATTGGAAAAAGATCTACCAGTATCATTGGTAGGAAGAGTGAATCGGCGTGTTCACTGAATGAAAAACAGCTTTTCTATCGAAATTCGCCGTTTTTCGGCGCACGATTATAATTATTTATCTTCTTGCATTAGTAAGTACGAGAAAGTAAAACATTGTCTGTCTTGAGTTTAAGTATATGAACGGTGTTCGGTAAAGAAATGCATTCATGTTTCCTTTACGACTGAAACTTCTGTGCCTTTGTGGACATTCCCGGAGCAAGCCCAGTCAATGTTGGACACTTCTGCTGCCAATGCCCTGGGAGAGTGCAAGTATAACTAGTTTTTCCGACTTTAACTTTGGAATGAACTCTTTCAAATTTTGGTTTGGTTTTCTCTGAAATCTCAAATAGGATCCTTGTTGACAGCTAGTTTAGGATATTTTTAGGAGTGGATCATGAGTGCAAATTTTGTTTTGTAGATGTTTCCATTTCGACTTTTTGATCAATCGCTCAGTGCTCCATAGCATGGTTAATAGTAGTAGTAGTATAAGTAATTGAGGTTGAAATGCCATCTACCAATGTTTTTATCAATCGAAATTAGCAGCATTCGATGTCAGCCATCATTCATCACCATCATCATCATCAAATCAGTTCTGTTTTGTGGAAGGAAAGAGTCGACTGATGGCTGAGCTATCGAATAGACAACGGTTGCCCCTGCAGCCGCCTGCCCTGTTTGAGTTGCCTTTGATTATAGATAATTAAATCGTATATATTGAGTGGCGCCTGGAGATAAGGCTAGTGGTGCTACAACAGCATATACTTTCTCGTATTTCTAAATTTTGCAATTCTCTAAAATTCAAGAGTTCAAAGAAAATGGAACAAGGTTCAATAACTCAAAATATTTTCAATTACATGGTCACCGTAAAATACAATCAAGCACTTCAGCGTTCAGTGTCCCCACCCAGTCGAAATACATTCAACCACAATCTCGCCAGTACTGTGGTCCAGAACAAGACTGAAAATTTAATTTGAGAAATGAATAATAAACGCGGCACAATAATTCGAATGAGTTCCGTGTAGGCGGCCTGCGGAGTCATGTCACCCTCCGCTCCAGCGTGCCTCTCCATGACGTTACGCTCCGCTCCGGGGCTTCTCTGCTCTCCCGGTGAGCCGTGCTCCCAGCCACCTTAACACCCTTAGTTAGTAAGGCGTCTTGAGAATTGCACGAAGCCCGTTGGGAACAACGGTTGTGTTGGGGGTAGGTGCTGCCTGTGGAGCGGTCGACGGTGACGGTGCACCACCACCCGCAGCCCGACGCGCAGCCGCGGGCCCCCGCCCCGTCGGTCTCCGCCGCGTCCGCCGCCCGCCGACCGCCCGCCGCTGCCGCTCCACCGTGTGGTCAGCCGCGGCTTCCGCCGCCGAACTCCTGTTCCAGCTTAGTGTACGGCCACCCGCCGCCGCCACCCTACCCTGGTTTCGGCGGGGGCCGGCCCCCGCCCCCGCCGGAGCGCCCTTCGGACCCGCGGCCCCGCGGCGGGGTGGCCGCGCGCCGTGAAGCTGGAGCTGCCGCCGCCCGCGGCCCGCCCGCCCGCCCCCGCCGCGGAGGCCGCGCTGGATTTCACTGGGGTCTGCTGGCGGCGCCGGGCGGCCCCCCCGCCCTCACGGGGCGCCGGAGGGGCCGGGAGCGCGGGCCCCGCGGGCGCCCAGCCGTCCCCGCACGCCTCGCCAGAGCGACGTGGAGAGGCGCGACGTCGGCGGCGGTGGCGGCGGTTGCACGAGGAGCTGCAGGGCTGCTGGCGGTGGCGCCGGGGGTGGGGCGGGAGGAGAGCGGGGGCGCGGAGACGCACCGCTGCTCAGCGATCCGGGCTCTCCTACCGCAATCCTGCACCTCATTCGGCCGCCAGCGCGCTCGACAGTGCCCCCCGGCCCGGGGGACCCCCCGGCGCGCCCCCCGCGGCCAGCTGCTGGCGCCCGGCGCCCCCGCCCCCCCGCTTGCTGGGAGCCACTCGCTGCCCCCGGCGGCCGAGGAGCGGGGCGGCGCCCACGCCGCCAGAGCCAGACCGCCCCCTTGCGCGCTTCAACCAGGCCTTCAGCGCAGGACGCCGGCCAGGCCAGCAACAGCAGCAGCCGCCGCCGCCCCAGCCGCCGCCGCCCCCGCCGCGCACGCCCCCGCAGCAACAGCAGCCGCAGCCGCCGCCACCGCCCCCTTGACCGCGGCTGCCACGCTTTTCGCAAAGTTTGCTTTCGGTATGTCCAATACAGCCCCGTCACAATATCCTGGACGCTTCGGCGCCGGGCGCACTGCCGCCCGGTTGCAGATCCATGCAACCGGCGAAACGAGCCAAACGTTCACTTTTACCTCGCTTTGACCAAGCTTTCACGTGGCTGCAGCAGCAGAATGCTTCCCTGCCTTCGAGTCAATGGTCGTCTCTGCATCGGCTGTTTCGCGAGCCCTTGCACTTGCGGCGAATCTGACAGCCGAGAACTCTACCTCTGTGTCATAGCATGTCGGTGTGCAAGGAGTTATAACTTTAAGCGAGAGGTTGTCTGTCCGATTGTAGTTGTCACAATGGCATTGCACTAGCTTTGATGGCTGCGTTGTGCCCAAGGCACAGCTGCCTGTCAGCATGGTGAAGCATGCAGTCAAAATACATATTATAATTCATTTCTTGTACAGATGTATATATCAGGGGCTCCTATTGAATGTTGTTTGCTGTTCACTTTAGAACTGCAATATATTGTTATTGTCATAAATATTAGCAGTCTGTGTTACAGAATATATTTTTATAATATGTTCAGTTTTCTTTAGTTTTTTCTACAGCATCTTCTGATTGTACATATTTTAAATGAATGCAAGATACGTGCAATTGATTTTAATAGAATAATTCACAAACGGGAGCTCTTGACCTCTGTTGTTTCACTAAGTACCTTGTGATGAAGTTTTCATATTAATTATTTTTATAACTGTTTATACTATCTGCTACACATTTTGTATCTGGAAGTTACTGTCCGATTTCTGCCTGCAAGAACACTATTTTGTGCATGGCTATAATGTTTATGAATGTTAATGATTGGAGTAAAATTATTTTTGCCATTTAAGTGGGCTCTAGGTTTTCCTTAATAGGCAAATCAGAATGCACATAATGTGTGTAATCACAATTCTGTTTCATTTTTTCATTATCTTGTTTTTGTTATTTTAAAAAAGGTATTTTAATATATTTATAATTTTATTTCTTTTCATTTTAATTCCATTTGTGATAGCTTTGAACTCAGAACATTGCATTCATATTCAAAGTGTATTGATACACAATTGATCACATCTGTTTTGTGTTGAAATGGGAAGCTTTTGAGCTTTTTAACATTCTTGTGGATCATGAAGTATGGTACTCTTCAAAATTTTAGGGATCTTTTATATACTCTTTATATCAAGTGTTTGGTCACAGGAATTAAAAAACAATTTTTCGAGAATTTATAGTATATATTCTCTCTGCCTCTTTGATGCCATCTAGATATTTCATTTTTTGGCTTTATTTCAATAGTAGTTTGTGTAGGAGGAAATTTCAGATGTGCCTTCAAATATTTTGGCCTCATTTTTAGTCAGTGTTTTTAGAAGAGACTTTTAATTACATTTTCGTATAATTCATTTCTTAAAATGTATGAATCTAGAGATTTGTAGCCAACAATTATTCTATTTTTTAATTTTTTTTTTTCTAGAAATTTATGATTTGGAACAGTTTTTCTCCAAATCACTTGTCACAACCGAGTTCTCATGACAGTTACAGTAGTATTGCAATTATTACTACAGATCTTTGCAGTTACATTTTTTTAATGGTAATAATTGAAGTTTAATATTTTGCAATTAATTTTGCTTTGTTAAATCTCTAGAACATACTGAATTAATATATCAAAATATATGACACTTTCTTACGGTTTTAATTTTCAGGGAATTGTGTGAGAATCAGCTCATTGTCCATGATAGTCTCGTTTAATGTCGTATTTCTTAACAAGCTTTTTGTAACATCATTGGTTTGTTGTTTTTGAATCCATTGTTGCATGGTACAAAACCAGAATGAATTTTATTCCCGACTCAGTTTGGCAAATGTATCATCATCTTAAATTATTTAATATCATTTTGTTTTATCATCAATTATAATTTCTTTCTTTCAAATTTTCAATGTATTTGTACCAGATTATTTTAATAACCTTGAGGTCATGTAATGAACTTATTTACATTTGCATTAATTTTTTTAACTATTCAGATGCTTGTTTTGTCAGACAGCAATTCTCATTTTTCTCATTCATTTTCAAGTATCATAATAATTTTATAAGAGAAGGTTTTTCTTGACATATTGGGTAAGTTAAAAAAGGTTTATAATTGCATGTCTGCAGTCATGAATTTTCAATTGTAAATAATACATTTTATTTACAGAAATACTTTGTTAAATGGTGCTGTTTCAAAGATATGAAGTTGTAAATGATTTTCAAATATTTTTTTAAAAGAAATATATAAATTCCTAGTTAATATTTGAAGAAAAAATCAGAAGGCAATGGGTTTTCTAGCACTCGTGTGTGACTGATAAAACAAACTTTTTCTGGTATGTTTGTTCCAGAACTGTAATATTTTCAAAAATATACATTTTTAACAGCTTACTTTGTAGCAACTAATTTATATCTTTGAATGAAGTTTTGGGTGGGAGATAAAGCTTTCTCATGAATACTTTGCTTTATAAAGTACTTTGTGAATTCTAGTATTTGACACACACACACTCAAACTAGCCCTCACAATTCTGTAAAAAAGATCAGGAAATACATACATTATTAAATTATTACAGATAGGTATGTATTTATATACTTATGAATTCACAAAAATTGTCTTTGTCACAAAATATAAGCAAATAAGACCCCAGGCACTATTAAGTGAACCATTTCATGTTGTGAAAGCTTGTAGCCATTCAAAATTAAATATTTGTTCTTCAAAAGTGTAGTGTGGCTCAATTCCATGCATCACATTCTTATATTTTGAAATAATATTTCATCAAATGAAATGTTGAAATATCAGCAGAAATCAATTCTATTCTAGAATCAGATTTGACTTACTAAGAAAATTCCATCTAATGTTTATTTGTATTGGCTAAACCTTGTATTTTATCTTCCTGAACTTTTCTTTCTTTGTTTTTATACGTAGGCAAAATTTATAAACTTATATTATCTTATAATATATAAACTTATAGTATCCTTGTCTGTCTTAAGACTGTTAAAATGTTGGAATATGATTAAGTCATGGTACTGAAGGTTAAGGGAAAAAATGATTACAATTTAAGCAGAATTCTCTTTTCACAAGATAAAATGATTTTGAACCTATTCAGTTATGGGTTTTATATAGTTTATTTGGCTTACTTTCTATTTGATTCATTTTGGTATAAAAACATTGAAAAATCATTAAAAACAGATCATTGCATGGTCTCTTCTCTAAAATATGTGTTAGGTATTATTTGTCTTAATTTACAGTTTCAGATTCATTAAATGATTGTTGGTTTCTTTGGTTTCTCAAATCCCTAGAGGTTCTAATATTGAGATCAAGTCATCCATTTGTATTCACTACTCAGTATTTGTTTTTCATTTTCCTAATTTAAGGTTTGAATGAAAATCTGTGATACTGTTTAACTTTCCTGGAAAGTACTATTAAAGTATACTCTTTTGACATCAGATTAATATGGGAAAATACCTTCTTCATGTGGATTTTATATGGTAGCCAATATCAAATGTAACTTAGATATTCATTATTGTTTCAGCCAGGATTAAGTTTACTGTGAACGGACAACCAAAATCTCAAAGGGCAAAGTGCAAGGGCAGTTGACAGAGAGAGTCGGGAGATCTGTGGATTTCTTCAATTTATTTTCTTTAGAAATGGTATTACATCTATAAGGAAAATAATTAAGGCAGTAAAAGATATCATTGAGGCAGAATTGTAAACCTGATTATTGCATACAGTGAATTAGATAATTAAATATGTCTAACTCTTAATGGAGGATGAGTTCCCTTTCTCTGACGTTTGCTCGCAGCAATTGGCAGTTGAATACCCAGTAGATATTGTAGGCTATTATTGCAGTGCCTTATGATTAATGGAACTTCATGAATTGGATCATTCAAAGCAATAATGCTGTAAACATTTGATGGTATCTTTCTAATTCAGCTCATACCAAAAATGTTGTTGTATAAACTAACTTGGTCGTGCACTTTCTTGTGTCTGCTTAGATGTAGTAATTGTCTCAGTGTCACATAAAATGTGTTTAACTGTCTATTAGATATTTTATCTTTGAGACACTTATAGATAGTTTGCTGACAGGTCTTAAGTGAAAAATAACAAAATTAATATTTTACTTTATGTTTATCTATAAGCTGTGCTTCATTAAACTGACAATGTACCTTTTCAAAATGTTATATTTATGTATATATTTTATATACAATACTAATTTAATAGTAGATTAGACAGAAATCATTCAGTGCCGTTCTAAATAGCAAAATACATAATAAGCCATTCCTCTTTATTTATATGCATACTGAAGCCTGTAACGCCTGGCCTGTGGGCAACTCATCTTGAAATATAGGCGACAGGTGTGCAGCAGCCATTTTTAGAGCAAGATGCATGTACATTCCATTATGTCTTGTTAGTTTTAGAAGTGAAAGTGCACTTTTAAAAATTTCCAATATATTGCACCTTCAGCATATTGAAATGATTCATATTTAATAAGATATGAGATATTCTTAATTTTCAATTATTAAGAGGACTATTGATCTTGGTATTACAGTTTGCTTGCAAACACCAAGAATAAGTTTTACATTTTTTCAGATCATCAACAATTCATTATTTACTCTTAATATTACTCAATGACAGATTGTTGACTTGGTTTGATGAGAGGAACAAAGAAAGTAATTTGAGAAAATTCAACCAGTATTTTTGAAAATAATAATGGGCATGTATCTTGCTAACATCATTGATAAGAAACCATACCACTTGCAGGACTCCTGCCATACCTCTCTGCTGATTCCAGCTGCAGGCTGATTCTAGCTTGTAGCCCCATTGTCACAATCAGAATGTTCGGATCAACCTGGGAAGAACTTCTGTTGTGGACAGAAGTAAATGTGATATTTTATTTTTACTTAAATGTTTTTATATATATAATAATGTTATTTTCTTAGAGAGTACTATTGTCTCTTAAGAGAATGTCAAAATATTTATCTTATATATTGAATATTTAAACTACAATTTAACAGTATAGATTGTTGTATGGAAAGGAAGATGGGTTGCCTGAAGGCTCAGAGAATTTGTTGCAATGCAATAGGGACATTCAGTTGAATTGATAGAGTATCAAGATGAACCAAAGTAGAACTAGATTTGTTAGAAGAAAAGAAAACTCTTATTGTGTACATACATAATATATTACCTCTTCAAATAATGAAAATATATTTTATTGTGTTTTTATATCAATATACATACCTAAATACCAGTCTGAAAGAATGTACTTATTCTAAGAAATAATATTTTACATCTAATATTCAGAATAGATTCTAATATTTTTGTATGACAGTATTTTATCATGTAGGTTTGTAGCTATAGGAGACACACAAAATTTTAAAATTTCATGAATTAAAATAACATTACTGAATCATATCCTTATTTAAAATATCTTGGTTACAGTGTCATAGAGCTTACATTATAATTTTGAAAAAATGTAAATAATTTGTTGTGTATAAATTTCTTTGAAATCTGTTAAGTTTTTGTTCAGAGTTTCACCTAATTTTTTTTCAAAGAAATCCGTAGTTTTGTGTGTCCCCTTTTGTGTAGGTCAGGTATAGGCAAATACTTGCATGGGCTGATCCCTGTTATGATTATCAGCACGTGATATGTTCTCAAAGAAATTTAATAGCATCTCTCTATTCTTTAATGGTATTCTAAACTGTTATTTTTGAATGTTCAGTGTGTTTTGATAGGTGATGTAATTAATAGAAGTTGTTCACTTGTCCCACACAAGAATATCATTGATTTTCTGAATTGTTTATTAACATTACATTGTTTATATATTTATTTCTTCAATTTCATTTTGTTTATATTCTTTGTAATCCAATTTATTTTTTCATAAATTTATTTTGTTGTGTGATGCAGCTCATGCTGTATAATGTGTTTGCCTTCTCCTGATAGATGGAGTTATAGGATCTACCTCGTTGAGTGTGAATGCGAGTATCTTGCTCGCTGCCAAGTACAAAGAGATATGTGGGGTGTCGATGTATTAAGTAAAACTGTTTTATGTGTTGTTACTTGATGTGTAATAAGTGGGAATAAGAGGCTTAGATAAATTGTTGGATGATTCTTTATCAGTGTTTCTCAACTACTAGTGTGTACCAGTTTTTGTTGTTTGTTTGTTTTTTTAAGTGGAAAATGTATCATGCATTTAAGCAACTTGGTTTTCTTTGTCCCAATGAAACAAATATTTTTCTCTATTGTCTTGGCTTCTTTATAATGTTCAGTACTGATTAATGGAATTGTGCTTGGAATTTGAAATTTAGTGTTCATGTGAAATGAAGTAATGAATGCCATATTTCAGAAATTATTTTCAATCTAATTTGAGAATCTATTGTGTAGCTTGTGTTGAGAAACACTGCTTTATATTGTAATGTTTCTTTCATTTTCATTACCAGTAGATAATTTTACAAATTTTTCTTTCTTGTGATGTAAATTTAAAAAAAAAATGGGGGTACAATGTTTGTTTCTTGCCCATAGTGCCTCATTTTTAATGAGCAGAAATATGGAAGAAAGATAAATGTGGTTTCAAGTGGAACGATAACAATATACAATGGACCTTGGTTCATAAAATGTCTCAAAACTTTTAATTTACAAATAAGAGCACGTCAAAATTATTATTAACTTGAGGAAAACATTTAAAATGACATTAATTGCATTTTACTGTTTTTGTAGGAGAGGAACAAGTTATAGCAGTTCTTGCCTTTCTTTCCTTCAAAATTTTAATTCTGTTTTTGAAGGTATCGTTTTAGAAAGAAAAAAAGTGAAAATAATACACTAACTGTATTAAATTTCAAAATAACATTGCTAAGTTTTTTCCTGCTTCTGTAAATCTGGCCACTTCCTGGTTTACAATAAAAACTGCCACTATCATTGTGGTCATTGAGCAGTATTACATCAAAATCTACTAAATTAAATTCTGACTTTAGCTACACAGGAGATACATATGTGGCAGTGTCAATCTTCTTTTATGTAAATGAGTGCCATATTATTATTGTAGATTATTTCCATTGCAATATGTTCCTTCGGCTATGTATTCCAGATGGTTTTCATTCAGAGGTGCATGTCTGACATTAAATATTTATTATTTTTTCATCTTGTAGCACTGTCATGTTCTTCATCCCTTTCCATATTGTTTTCTTTCAGTTCACTTCTAATTTTTATCTTCTCTACAAACATTCCTAAAATAAATGTGTTACTTCATACCTAGAAAATGACCACAGAAGTTGTTTATTGCATGTTTATATTGGCTCATTTCATTCTATTTCTACGTTCTGCAGTTGTTTAACATTGTAACTTGTTATAATTCTGCAGATTTTGCAATTATTGTCTTAGTGAAACCAAGTTCCTATGTATTGTAAGTCGTTTAAATATAAAGATGCAGTATAGAAAAGAAATCAAAAAATCTAATTTGTTCACATGTCCTTATTTTGGTATACATGCTGTATAAACATATTGGAAGCCAATATTCAATTATAATTCACAAATATTGTATTAAAGCAGATGATGTGCAGTATACATTTTTGGGTAAATGCAAGATCTTGGCAATAACCAACTTAACATAGTCAATTGTTTACCCTCCTGCTTTTGAAAAGAATATGAATTTACTAAAACTTGAGCGGGTTTAAATACTTTCATGCATACATGCATATAAATGTGTAATGAGTAATTTTATTTGTGGTTGTGCATGGAGGCAGAAGTACATCCGTGTCATTAAGCTCATAAAGTCATGTCCATATTTCAAACATAGTGCAGCTCAACATAATGTGAAACGTGCTAGTCAAGTTACTGTAATATATTTTCTACATCTGTCATGTATCACCACAGGTATTATATTTACTGCAGTAATGATACTTTAAGAAACTTTTTTGTTGTAAAATCTGCCCAAGTCTGTGCAATGGTGTGTACTCGCCGAAATAATTATCCTTTCTTTGAGATTGTCATTCATAAAACTGTCCTTGCAAAAATTATATTTATGAAGTAAGTGTCAGTTGTGGAATTGTTGCACAGAATATATTTCATTACTATGTGATTTATAAATCAGCAGCTTCACTTTGGGTGCTTGAATTGTGAAAGGATTGCTAGTTCAGCTGTGGTACTGCCGTCTAATGTGTTCTTACATCGATGTTTTTTCAGTGAACGAAACATGTCCTTAATGGAATTGCTTAATATGTGTTATTCCAATGCTTGGAACTTGTAATTTTTTTAGATATATCTTTCTAATGTGTTCTTGTTATATTGGATGTTCAAGAAAATGACACTTGTACCTAGTCCACAGTGTTAAGAAGTGATAGTAACAAAACTTAAACAACATTCTGTTTGAAACCTGGAATTCATTCTGGAAGACAAGTGCACTACTTAAACCAGTGAGAGGCAATCTTTATTGAATGCTTTTGACTAGCAGTTTTGTTTGAAATTGAATATTAATGTGACGATATGTGCCAATGTATAAAATTCACATTGAATAATATGAGATCATATCAGCTATTTATATTATTTTTCAGTGATGTACGTATTTTCATTATGTTATTCAGTTATTAAAAATTGTCATTTTTAAGAAGTGATACATTTGGAATCATGACAACATTGCTTACTTGTTTGAAAATCTGTTAAATAGAATGTTAATATTTTTTTGCCTTTGGATCACTGGCCATATAATATAAATAGTAGTGAAAACATGTCAGACAGCCTGTTGAATTGAAAGGCACAACCCTCATTTTCTAAATGGATTGGTATGTGGCGCTAGTCATAGTGTTTAGTTGTGTAGAAGACAAACAGTTGACAGAAAGAAATTATTGTTGGAACAAGGAAAGAAAATATATAATTTAAGAAGTGCTTTGAACATTTTTGTTTTGAGGTAATGTTTCATACCAATAAAAAATGCATGAACATGTTGAAACTGATGCAAGTTGGAATGATCTTTTGGAATTGATCAGTGTAAAGGTTTGATTTTCTCATTTCAACACTCCTTATCATTGGGTTCAGTTATAATGTGGTATTTTTAAAATGAAATTAATAATCAGAATAGTCACTTGTTTCTGATGTTTCTCTGGTCATGTGATTTAGGTTTCTTTTGATACCACACTACAGAGCACAACATTCACATCTCTACATACCTCATAGTGTTAAAATGATTTGTCTTGTTCTTGTGTTTTCCTAACAATTTAATGTAAATGTTTGTTGTTTTCATTGTACTTGTGATTGCATTTCCAAAAATATGAACATTTATGTCAGGCATTACATTAGATAGAAAAGTACATTTCAATAGATGTATTTTTCTTTGACAATGTTAGTACCTCAATTCTACCTCTCTTCAACAGAATATGCAAATAAAATTATGACTCATGTGGACATGAACTTAGTATATTGTCCTGATTTTTTAAATAATTGATTATTCTTTGTTGGGCATTTCATATTCATATCTGATGGAATTTGAAAAACATTATCATTGCATTTCTTTCTCTTTAGTTACTTTTTTGTCACTTCTCCTTTTAGCTTTATACAATCACATAATGGTGCAAATGTTCAAAAATTGTTTAAAATTTGATGAGTTTTTCTTTGAAAAAATGTTCCACTTGAAAAGTAAATAAATTGGTGCATTAAAATCGTACAAAACCAAGTTGCACTGGTATGCCTTATATAATAAACAAGTGACATTACTGGATGAGAAAAAATCTATATAAAACTATATACCCAACCACTCAAACCGGTGAAAAATCCAGGATAGTTCAAATTATTTAAACATAGCTTTAAAATATTCCAGTAACCTCTAAATGAAATATATTGTGATCAGTAAGGTAATCCAAATCTATGTTATTATGTAATATATTGTGTGAGTGGTGAACATCACAAGCAGTGATTTGTTGTATGCTATTATGGAAAAGAATGAATATACACATAATCATGATGTTTCCTGTGCCATTTTAGTATCATGCCATGACACTGCTTATTTGTTTTGATATTGCAGAAATATTTAAAATCTAATTATTATAAACAAGGTTATTTATGTATGTTCATGGTCATGTATAAACTTTCAGATTTAGTTAAGACAAAATACACATTAACAAACTCTATGGTAAAGTTTTCTTGAGTTATTTGTTCTTTTGTTTTTATTTGCACCCTAAATTTAATCCTGTTGGCTAGATGTTTTCTTATAAGGGTCTAAAGTGATTAGATATTCATTTGAAGTAAAGTTCTTGTTTTTGTAGGGCACAGGTTAGAATTATGCAAAATAAATCCATTCAAACTTGTAACAATTTATTTGATCATTCTTATATGTGGATAACTCCTGAAATATATTTTACATGGTTGTTTTTGCGGATTTTAGGATACAAAACTAAAGGGAGAGTAAATTACAGTGTAGATGTAATTTAATTTTTGATTTTATTACAGTAAATTGATTTTCTTTAAGTGATTGTTATTTAACATTTTGGTTTAAACTATCAGATTATTAATTTTAACAACTACAAATATATCGGACACTTTAAGTTATAATTTATGAATAATGTTAACTGTTATGTAATTGAATCTTTCAACTTCTCATATTCAGTCTTCTTTAGATAATGCAGTTTTAACATTCAATACCCGTTAATACTCAAATAATAATAATAAATTATTTTCTTCAAGAATATTTGCTCTGAAATTGTCTCTTAAACAGCTTCAAAATGAGACGAAGATAAGTTTTTATTTGCTTATTTACCTGGTATCAGGAATGAGAATTAATATAAATACATAGTGTGCCAAGATCCCAAAATTGTTAAAATGTAATGACATTTCGATTCAAGTGACAATGATCTTAAAAGATATTTTGAATTAAGTAAAATATCAAAAGTTGTATCTTTAAAATGCATTGTGCCATTTTTGTTGCTAGTTTGAATGGCCTTATTACGAAAGAGGAAAAAAGATATTACAATGCTTTCCAAATATGTTTTTTTTACTTTTGGAATCATTCTCTTTTGACTACCAAGAACAAGTATCTAAAACATATTCATTAATTTTCAAATAAATTAGGCTACTTAGCATTTTATTTCCTTTCTTGAAAAGTAGGAAAAAGTTCGCATTATCTGTGTGATATTTAGTTTACATTTAATAGAGAGCATTGAAAGTTGGTTATAATCTACTTTCAAAAGTATGCAATTGAAAATGAAGTTCTCCAATGCGTGATCTTTGTGATAAAATAACCGAAATTACTGACTAATAGTTTCAGATAAAAGAAAGAGATTTAATGCTGTAAAAGACATCTCTGTGGCCTAGTTCGGTAAAGGACGTCTCTAAGCTAATTTCAGATATATTTTTCACGCGCTAGTATCAGTGCATGGTGAACATTAATAGTTTATTTTGACATTTGTAATCATAAACTCTTTTCATTTGTTATAAGAGAGTGGAGTCCACAAAATTATTTTAATTTCGCTTTTGTTGAAATCCCTCGTGGCATTATTCGAGACCAGTTTCGAAGTGACAGAATCGACCTTGCTTCTTGCTGTAGTTGCGGGTAGACGGCCGTGCTTCAGTGACGTCATTCAGGCATGCGCAGTCCCAGCGAGACGCAGGACTGGAAGAAGGGGAAAGTATTATGGATACACGGGGGGCAAGAGAGAGTTCATTCGAATTTGATCCCGCGGAGGTTTCGGACTCTTGGCAGAGGTTTAGGTATGAGACGTTGTTTAATCGGAATCCTTCGCAGAAACGCGGTCACACATTGATGTCAGAAGATCAAACGATCTTTTTGCACATTTTCCAGAATTACGGGATTGAAGAGCAACTGAAAAGACAGGTGAGTACTTACGTGTTATTTTTAAAAAGTCCAACTGGATACTCAATTACTGGCAGTTACGTAGTGTAACAATTGTTAATTATGTGCATGTGTCAAAATTTATCTGAAATTCAAATTATCTCGAAGTATCTACACTTTTGTGTTTATCATATATTTCCTTTTTTCGACGAAATTAATTTTTATTGATAATATACGTTAAAATGTGTATTATTCTTATCATATTATTATCATCATCTTAAAAAAGGACATAGTCTACGTGTAAAATGTGTTGGTGAATTCCAAAGGACTTGATAATTATTAAGTGTGCACGTCAGAACACTTTTGATTTGTCCCAGAATATAAGGAACATTATCATCAGAAATTATCAATACCGAAATCAACAACAAAATGTAAAAAAAGAAATTGTGTATATATTTGTTTAATTTGTCAAAGAAGTTATATTCTTAAACGTTTTTAATATAAAAAACATTTTGTTATTGCTATTAGAGCTGGCTGTTTTAAGTTTTTTTGTTTGTTAATAAATTTACATTTTGGGTGCAAAAATCTCGCGTGCATTATTTCAACATTCACGTAGTTCAGAACTTAATTTTAAATTAGGTTCCAAAATCGTATTTATTCTCATGTAATTGCCCAAATGTACTGTTGCAAACGGAAATGTAATAATTAATAGCTCTTTATTTAAATCAGTCTGCGGTTGTGATCCAGTTGCTGACGGTTGTTATTTTATTTTTAGTACATAGGGAAGCGTCTTCTTTTGAGTGGGTTCTATTGAACTTAGAGATTGTTTGGTGTCTAGTTAACTATTTCCTTTATGTGTCAATTAGGAATACGACATTCAAGAATGTAATCTTAATTCTTTCGAAATACTATAGGCATTATAGTTCTATTTACATTTCAGTATTGTTAATTTATAATTAAATAATTTGGTACTTTTGGAACAGGCGTGCGGTGCATAAAACAAAAGGGTGGCAACTATGTTTATAGCTTCCGTTTTAATTAAACCTTTTTTATTTACATTGACATTTTATCAGTAAATAAATAAAAAATACTAGAAGAATAAAATTAAAATGTTAATGATACGATTAATAAAAGCATTTGATTGTATGCCGAACTATTTACGGTGTCACTAGATGCTTTGGAGAGTCTTGTGTAAATTACCCAAGTATCAGTTTCAAAAAGGGGAAAATCAGGAATTTATCATATTCACGAAAATAAGTTTTATTATATAAGGGGTCTTTCGAAATTTTGAGGGGGGAGCATGCCCCTCTCTCCTGTTCCCCCCTCACATGCTCGTATCACGAGATGTTAACGGTGTAAGGTTGACAGAAGCAAATGCGGTACATGGGTACATATTACTGAGAATATATAGCATCGTTTGTTACTTTGAGAAATCTCTGATGAAGTGAAAATATTTTTCGAGACGTCGGAAAACTTCAATGTGTTCTTATTACTTCCAAATTTCGACTAAAAGCTGAGAATCAGTTTCAATTATTTTAATGGCCATAAAAGATTACACTATGTTGAACCTACATAATTTATTTTTTTAAAAAATACGTATTATTTTTCACGAATAATCTTGAAAATTTTTTTCAATTATTTCTTTTTTTTAATTATGCATTATAAAAAGCTCCTTTTTGTTCAGTTGAAAATTTTTATTGTACTCGTTTTTGGAGTGCGCTTTACTGAAAATAAAATGTTCATTAGTGTTTGTTATATTCAGAACTGCTCTGTGATTTGTAACTAAAATTTTTATCTGGCTAATGATAATGCAAATACAAATATTATTCATATTTATATTAGTATGACACGACTATTAGAATTAATTATTTTTAAATTCTAAGATGTAGGCTTCTACAAGTTCAAGTATTCAAGGTTTTAACTGTGAAATTAAAGATTAATCTTAGTTGTTTTTTTAAGACTTGTAATAAGTAATTTGGGCCTAACAATATTCATCAAGGACCATTAGGTGATAAATAAAATTCTTACAAAAGCTCGTAGCTTAATGCCTTAAATTATTTCAAATAACGTACCCAGAATAATCCAGTTTGCATCAAAATTACTTTTACAGTAAATGATTTGTAGTGC